GATTTTGAAGGCAAAGACCCCATATAATTAAAAAAAAAAAAAAAAAAAGAGAGAGAGACAATTACATTGTTGTTCATTTTGTTCTGAAGCTTTTTTAGGTAGAGGTTTTATTCTTTTCGATCCAAGAATTAATTGCGGAGGAACCTGGTTGACAATATTAAACATAAATATAAAGATTATGATAACATGTATTTTTATAAAAAATTACCTGCAAAGGACCTAAACCAAGTTCTTTGAATCCAAAGAAATCATCTTGTAATTCCCCACCAAAAACACCCCTGAATAAAAAATAATAATTATCATTCACCGTTTTTTAGATTAAATTTCTAATAGTTGATTTACAATAAATTCTCGAAATAATGCTCATGGTCATAATTTCGAAATTTAAAATAACATCAATTATGAGGTTTACGGTATAAAGAATACGCACGTCAAAAATGCATCATCATTATCAGGGATATCATCCATGACTTCCTCAGGTTGCTGTTAAATGTTTGTAAAAAAAGTTAATATAGAATTATAATGAATAATAAATGAATTTAAAGATTATTACCAATAACGCAGCCTCAAGACGGCGCTTAATATCATGTAGTTTCGTACCATAACGTTGAATATCATCATGAATGTATGACTCAAGGTTCTTGACGGACGAAACACCGTTTTCATACAAAGAATGATTGATCATTTCCTAATAGCCATTATAATTAAAAACGGTTAAAAAACGTTTATTACAATTTAAAGATAGTAGATAGCTTACCTCGGTTGTCATCTTTTTGCTATAATCATCCATATATGCACGTAAAGTTTTACTCAGATTCAAGAAGTAATCTTGAGCTACTTCGGTCAAAATAGTCAAAGCCCTACCAGAAGTTGCTATTGAGTAGATAACGATAGTGGATGAAGTAAGAATCAGATAATATTAATGGTATTTTGGAAGTTGAAATTACCTTCAAATCCTGCGTGTTGACATAATCTAGAAACGACACGTTGCATACAAGCAAAGCCAGCTTCTTTATTCAAGTTAAGGGGAGGTAGATCCTTTTGATCAATCGTAGTATTAATTATCGAAGTCTCTTCTGGAGGTTTATCTGAAATACCGAGATGACTCAACTAAAAAACAACGTACACATAGCGTGAACACAAATTTTACGTATGCTGAAAGATAGTAGTCATCAATATATAAGGTTTACCGGAATATTATGTCTTGCAGACACAAGTTTAGCATGAAGAATTCGGGATTGCTTAAGGATTTCGATATTTTTCTCAATCATTGCGCCAGTGCCTTTCTTCGGGAATTGAAGTTGGGGGTATTGATCAAGCGTTGGTAGATCGGTGCTATTGAATAAAGAATAAAATAGGATGCATTCCTCATAGCAACAAATTAAATACATAATAAAGAATTACCTTGGGTCATAGTTTGGATCAAAGAATTTATCACGATTTGGGTTATCTAATTCAGGATCCCATAGTTCGGACAATTTAGGAGTCGGTCTTATCAATCTTATGCTTTTGAGCATTTCTTGAACCTCTCGATCCGCTTCCTTTTCTTCATCATCTGATGAATTCTCTTGGGACGCTTGAGAATGCCCCGTCATATCTGCTATTTGAACATCTTCTGTTCCGGCATCAGTACCCGGTGGCTCATCTTCCATAATAGAATAACATCTCAATAACTATTAATTATAAGTATCATCAAATAAGACAGTATAAAATTATTGCTACCTTCTACTTGCAAAGATGCGCTCGAGGCACTTTCAGTAAGTTGATCTAATGACGGCGATTTTTTTTCCGTCTTAAATAATTCACCATTATCTTGTTTTAAACTTGCTTTATATTCGGCAAGAGTTTGAATTTTAACATCTGGAACAGCCTCAAGTAGCTCATCCATCTTTTTTTTCATAGCTATAGCATACTTTCGAAAGATATTGTCCTATTTATTTTATTAAAAATGATTTTATATCATGACCTAAAGTGACCTAACTCATAATATGTCCTATAAAATTCTTACTGGATGAGTATTGTAAGTGATACAATTCGTATATATTAAATAAAGATCGTTTGCAAACTCATCTTTACTGTTGTAAGCACGATTTTTTAATTTTTTAGCGATCGTTCCAAGATCCATAGGATTCTTGATAACTGAGTATAAAAAAATTTAATTCAATAAACAATATAAAGATCGGATATATAATTTTGAGTAATTGTGGATAAAATAACCTTCATTGTAATCCGGTGCATCTTTCTGATTTACTTTTTTTTGAAAAGGTGAAGAATATGGCTAAAGAGAGTAAAAATGTATTTAAATGAAAAAAAAAAAAACAATAATTGCAATCCATTGATTGAACAAAATTCCATTACTTACGAGATAATTTTTTAAATTATTTAAAACCTTGTCTATTGCTTCATAAAGCATAGCCTGATTCACTCTATCGGAATCTGCCTTTTAACGATAAAAATTATAAAATACAGAAAATCATGAACATTTATCATAGGCAGTTTTACTTAATATTCACATGATAAATCAACTACCTACGTATCTCGACCCAATACTCCTCACGTCGGTCAACAGCATTTTGAGCTCGTTATCTGATAGGTATGACTTTTCTCTGTTTTTCTCTAAGTGAGAAATTAAATACTATACACAAAAAATAAGATTAATATAGAAATTTTATAACTAATTATTATGTTATTGCTTACCTTCATTTTGGGATCGAGCGTACTAAGTACAGACTAATGAACGAAAGTTTTTACGTACAATTAAAAGATCATTTACATTGCCAGTATATCAATAACGTGACACTAGAAGAAAAAAGGAATACAAACTGTAACTCACGAGAGAGGATCGTTTTGAGTTGCTTGACTCTCCATTATTCTCGGCATTATTTAAAGCAGACATCTTTATTAGAGAAGATTGGCTCTCGTGATTTACAGAATCTGACGATTAAAAAATGGGATTATGTTTTACAATACGTCTTCTTTTCTTTAATACACCAAAATTCTAGAACTGCATTTCCCAGCGTAACCATTAAATTTTCCAATTTGCATAATAGCGATAGCGATAGTTCAGTAGTTTGGGTAAAATTACCAGCAATACAATTATTATTCCGGCAGGATTAGCATGCTAGAAGTCGTTTTTATTGGTTACTTACTTTTATCGTTATGAAAAATTGGTACACGAATTTGTTTAATATCGCACCAAATTTATTTATCTTTTAGATTTTTAATTGGTCTTCTTATCAACTAGAAGCATTGTCACGTTCACGTGATACTCGAAAAAATTTCTTAACGTCATTTACATTAAAGGAAACATGCAAAATGGCTACGTATTAACAAATTCCTAGAATTACAAAACTTAAGCGAAGGTATCTCAACGACCACCCGACCAAATTCGATAAATTTTAAATATGTAGAATTAAAATAAAAAAATCTCCTCGGATTCGTTGTGATTGTTGAGACATCTTCGCTTAATGTCTTGAAATTTTTTTTTTAAAAAAATACATATATTAAATACATAACCTCACGATAAAGTTGTTTCAAATTTGAATGAATATAACAACCATAACTAATTTTAATTCTAAATATTGAGAATTAAAATTAAAAATTTTTCATCTAAGATATATTCACTGAATAAAGATAACGATCATGACAAATTTTTAAAACCTTTGAATTCTCACATAGATCTGGACGTGATCTCATTAATGTTGCAAAGAAACGTACCAACGTAATTCCAATCATTGAAGATGCTCGTCATCCTCAAAAGTATCGTATGTTGGTGAACATGGTAGATGTTATTTTTGCGGATGTTGCTCAACCAGATCAAGCTCGTATTATTGCTTTGAATGCCCATCATTTCCTTAAAAACAACGGAAATATTGTTATATCAATCAAGGCAAATTGTATCGATTCAACCGTCGAGGCTGCTACGGTATTTGCAAGGGAGGTAAAAAAATTACAGGAAGAGCATATAAAACCCCTAGAACAACTTACTTTAGAACCATACGAAAGAGATCATGCTCTAGTAATAGGAAGGTATGTAAGAGCACAATAGAGTTTTGAGTCATCCGGATTACCTGCATTATTTTAAAATCGGCATCCAGGTGAAGCCGGATTGATATATAACCCTAGGGTTGCCCATTAAAAAAGGCTTTAGCTGATGATCATGTTTTATATATAAATTATACCGCTTACACTTATTAAAAACGAATGTGAGATAATTATTACAATATCATTCACACGATTTTGTCACGCAGATTACGGGGTAAAATTTTTTCATTATGGTCAAATAATCATCACACCTAAAATTTCATGTTGTAAAATTTGAGTAGTGGTTAAAAGTAAAACCTTAAACAATTCAACGAAATTGACATGCACATTGGCTTGGGTTTGCGAGTTGAACATAATATTAACGACTAACTCAAACCGATACGCATCAATTGTGTTAAATAATTTTACAAATAAAAATATAGTATCTATAAAAACTTTATAGTCTATTATTAGATTTTCTTTTATAAAGTAAAGAGGGCATAATAGCGCGGTTAAGTATTGTTCTAATAATTTATATCTTTTTAACGTAATTTTATTTGATTATATAAAAATTGTTTTATATATTAAGTTAAATTCTAATAACTATAACCCTTTTTAGGTGCTTATTTTCGGATTATTAAATTAATAATATTTCTGTACTAAGTAAACCTACTTTCTGCTTCTAAATAAAGTTGTTTTCCAGATCAAGCTGATTTTAATGGTGGTAAAATCATCAAAATCGATCCAGTATAACTTTCGCAATTGCTCAGCAGAATTCGGGTGACGTTTGTTTACATGCAGTATGTTTTAGAGTTCTGCAAGTGCCCATGCCAGGCACATTAGGCACGATACCAGGCACTAGTGCCTGTGCCCATAGACATAAAAGTGCCGCACTATTATGAACATAGACACTTTTGTGTCAGACACTGGATGACCGTGTCTAAAAAAAGTACCGAGCACTTGGGTGCACATACCAAAAAGTGAACAACCCAGAGGTTTTTGAATTTTTATAACGACCTACTTAAATATTCCAACTAAGTCACTTACTAAGCCACCTGAGTGGAAAATACTGTAAAGATGATGACTCAATCGGAATAAGTGTATGGCAAAAAGTGCCTATGAGCAAAATAGTGCCAGGCTAAGCATCAAATATCTATGCCCATTTTTGTGGCAGCGGCCTAAATTTTTTTCCCTTGAAATCTGCTTTCTATAAAAGGCCATTTATGCGAAATTATTTTTAAAATCTGCTCCAATTTCTGCGATTGTTTTTAAAAAATGCTTATAATTATGCTCCAAAAAATTTTTCTTTCCACTTTTACCCGAGAACCATGCTGCTCGTCTTTGGCGGTTCAGTGACCATCTACCTCGGAACTTTCCGGGTTCTTTGCTTCGCATATTTTCTGCTTCGCTACGTAAAAATATGCTCGATTTTTATGCGATTTGATGAATTATGCTCAAAATTCTGCGATTTCTGCTTTTAATACCGAATTATGCGATCGCATATGCTATGCGACAAATATTAACTTTATGCGCAGATTATGCTATCGCAGATATTCTGTAGTATGCTTATAATGCTTATATCAGTAAGCAAACGTCGCTCGCTCGAACTTTGAAGAGTGATTGCGAAAGTTTTACTGGACTGAATTTGATGATTTTACCACCATTAAAATCACCTTGACCTGGAGAATAACTTCGCTCGAGGCACTTTCAGTAAGTTGATCTAATGACGGCGATTTTTTTTCCGTCTTAAATAATTCACCATTATCTTGT